GAGAGAGAGAGAGAGAGAGAGAGAGAGAGAGGGAGAGAGAGAGAGAGACTTGCCCAATATCATACAGCAAGATAGAGAACTGGAATTAAAACCCAGAACTAAAAGATTCTGACTCTGAATTCTGTGCTTTTTGGAGATTGCTAGTAAGGACAAGTACGAAGCAAGTTGAGGCTGAGGGATAAGAACCCTCCTTGGTTCCTGGAGTTTAGTGAGAGGCGTGGAGGAAATTTACCATGCAGGGCTAGGCAGTTAGGTCCTTGGGATCTCTTTTCCCCCTCCACTCTGACCCTGGGGGTGACCAGCTCTGCGGTAGTAGTACAGGAGAGGGTATGTGCTCAGCCTTCACCTGCTCACCTGTCATTACCACGAGGTTGACCTTTTGTTCCAGTGTCCCTGAAGAAAACTTTAGTAAGAAGACTCCTGAGCCAGCATGCTGAGGCAAGACAGGAGAAAGAGTGATGGTGAGTGGGAACTTGGGATCACGATTGAAATTTGGAGCCCCATTTTCTAGAATCAAGGAGCCACTCTTCCATGAAAACTTGGCCGACTGTGGGGGAGAGGCAACACCTTCCACCTGCCACCTCAGTTCTCCGTTTGGCTGTTCCCTGTTCAGGTCCTGTTCATTTAAATTCAGAGGGAAGGAGAATTTGGCAGCTTTGCCCTTCATCAGATAGAAGGTCTGGGAGGATGATGTGAAACCTGTAGGTGGTGATAGAGACAGGAAGGGTAGGATCAGAGGAATGGGGTGGAGGTAAAGAAGAGGGGGAAGAGAATGAAAATAAGTCCAAATTCAGCCTAGTACTCAAGACCTTCCAAAATTTAAAAAAAAAAACAAAACATGATTATATTTATACATACCTTTGCACTACTCCCCTACGTGAACCCTTCCACTAAACCAAGGTGACTTGGTCACTATTCTCCCAAAATGCCATGCACATTTCTATTGTCTTGGCTTGCTTATTTCAGTCCCTCTACCCAGAATATCCTTCATATTCCCTGAAACTTACCTAGTCCTTCCTCCAGCTCAAGTCTCACCTCTTCTAAGCAACCTTCCCCTCCCTCATAGGGGTCATTACTTTCCCTGAATCCCTATAGAATATTCTTATAGAATTCATTGTAAGCACAGCACCATTTCCTTATGGTTTGCTATCTGGTTTACCTTTCTGCCCTTGTCATCTCATCTCTTCTCTAGATTCTAAACTCCATGAGGGCAGGGACCTGGTCTTCAACCTCTTTGGATATTCTCTGAAGCTAGCATCTAACTCTGGACTTAACCAATATTCAACAGTAGGTATTCACTAGATTTTTTTTTATGCTAATGAAGTTGAGTCCAGCTTCTTACTCTAGTAGGTGTTTGTGACCCTGGGCAAGTCACTTAACCTCTTAGCAAACCAACCAAATGCCTAATGCTTTAAGTTGTCCATTTGCATTGGTAGATGGAATTTCTTTTCCCTTTGAGTTCAGTATGCCAGTAAACAAAAAACAAAGTTATTAAACAATTATTAAATAACATTATTAAATACTTATTAGATCATTAAATTATTCAAAAACAAATTATTAAAACCACAAAAACCAGTTATTTTGAGTAGAATAAATAGAGTATGGGAAAGGGGGGGTGTTGATGAAGAAAAAGGAAAGGATCCCCTCCTTTTCCCCTTTTCTGAGTTGCAGAAAGTCAAGAAACCACTAGAGCACTGGCGGTCTTCCTTTCTGCCCTTTTTTACATACACTGACCCTGAGAAAAGATTAAAATGGCCCTCAACATCTCCAGGGCCATCTCCTTGTCGCTCATGTGTCAGATGGTGTGGAGAAGTAGGAGGAGTAATGTCCATCTTGAGATCCCAAGACTTATTTCCCCCAGGGACAAAGGTTAGGGGAGGGAATGAAGAGAGGGGTGCTGAAAGTTGAGGGAGCAGAGGTATTGGAAGTTGGCGGTGGAAAGTGACAGTAGAGGAAAGGACTTGCTTCTCTTACCAAACACTGTGACTCTGATGCTCAATTTCAGGGCTTTGCCATTCACAGAGACGGTACAGTCCCATAAACCCCCTTGGTTGGTCTCCATTTGCATCAAGTTCAAAGTTTTCTTGTCTTGACTCAGGATCCTTTTACTTTCATCTCCTGGACCACTCCATTCCACCTTGAGTGCAGGAACATTGGAAGAGCCATGCAAGGTTAAAGTCACGTTGGTTCCAGAGAACACAGAGTCACTTGGGTTCGCAGTCACTGGGGAGGGAGAGGAGGCAGCTCCAAGTTACATACACTGAGTACAAAAAAGGGAACAGACAGAGCATTGTTTCTCCCAGGACACCTAGCCCCCCACACCCACCCCCCACGCCACTTTTCTGGGTCCTCAGGGCCCTCCCTCTCTATGTCCTTTCCCCCTCTATCTTCTTTCTTCTATCCCTCCTTCTTTTCCTCATCCTTCCTCTCTCTTTGTCCCTATTCTCCTTTCCCTCTCCCTCTTATCCCAGTTTGTCTGTCCCTTTTATCCATGGATAAAAGAGAGAAGTGACCAGATGGGGCTATGTGTGGAATGCTAGAATTCCAACTCCAGGTCAGGAAGACCTGAGTTCAGATCCTGCCTTGGACACTTAATAGCCTGTGTGACTGGAAAAATTATTTAACCTATCACTGACAGCCTCAGTGTCCTCCCACTTATTTTGCATTGTTGTCAGGATCAAATGTAAAGCATTTGTAACATATGATAAACAAATGTAACATATGGAAAATGCTTTGCAAACCTGAAGTATTATAAAAATGCTAGCTGTTATTATGAGAATTTCCAAAAGGTGTCATTGGGTGCCAAGGTGCCTTCTGTTAGTGGGGGATTGGGGCAGAGGACAGGGATGGGAAGAATCTAGGGAGAAGAAAAGGAGGGGTTCTGCTGATTCTTTTCTTCCACTCACCCTTGAACACCAGGAGTTGAATTTCCTGCTTCCTGGCTTCCACCTCACAGAAGTAGGTCCCCGAGTCTGCCATCTCCAGCTTCTTGATGATCAGAGGGAAGCTGCCCCCGTCCCATTGGTTTGTTAAGGAATCCACTCTATCTTTCTTTTTTGTGTTTCCTATGAATAAAAGAACATTTTTTTTTCTGGGTAGGGGAACACTCATTCACTATTACAGTATGTTAAACACCCATGACTTTTTTGCTTTGAGCCAGCTGAAGATTATTGTTATCAGAGTGGGATAGGGTGGTGGAGAAGTGGGGGGCAGGGAAATGCTGAATTAAGAAGACCTGGGTTCAGATTCCAGCTCTGTGGCTTGCTTCCTATTGATATGAACATGGCTAAATCACTTTGCTTCTATGGGCTTTGGTTTCCTTATCTACAAAAAGAAGGGGATAGGCTAATCATTGCTAATATTCCTTCCCGTTCCAAATTGTTTGATTTTATTCTGTCCAGAGAATCCTCGATTTGTCATATCAAAGCTCCATTTCTATCTGTGGAATGAACTACATCTCTTCTAAACCAGAGGAAAAAAGCTAGCAGTGTTCTCTTCCTCCTCAATTTACCTCATATTATACTTATTTATTTATATGCCTACATGTCAGTCAAGTAGCATTTATTAATCTCTAAATTCAGTATGGGGGCTCCTCCTGGTGCATTGAGGTTTCAATAAAGCCTTTGAACCCTAGAATTTGCCCCAGAAATATAGAGTAGAAGAATTACCACCCTAGGACCTTTGAGTTTCTTTTTATTTTTGGTGTTCAGTCATGTCTGACTCATCATGACCCCATTTGGGGTTTTCTTGGCAAAGGAGTGGTTTGCCATTTCCTTCTCTAGCTCATTTTACAGATGAGGAAACTGAGGCAGACAGGGTTAAGTGACTTGCCCAGGGATATATAGCTGGTGAGTGTCTGAGGCTAGATTTGAACTCAGATCTTCCTGACTCCAGGCTCAGCATACTATTCACTTTGGCATCTACCTGCCCTCCTAAGTTCTGGTATTTGAAGAAAAGCACCCATTTGTTGCTTCCTTAAGGGAAAAAAGAGGGCTAGGAAGAATTGCAATGTCCTGCAGATTTATAAAAGGTATAAATATAGAATAATGAAGTGAGACCTAAATGACCAACATTTGCCTAGGCAGAAAAGGATATCTGAGGATAAATCTTTGAGGCCCAGAGTATGATGAAATAGGGATAGTAGTTAGAAGCAGTGTTATGTAATGGAAAGTGCCTTAAAATTGGAGATAGAAGATCTGGGTTTGAATCCAATTTCTGTCACTTACTACCATGTAACTTTGGATAAGTCTTTTCCTCTCCCTGGGCCTCAGTTCTTGGTCTACAAAATGATAGGGTAAGAATTGATGTTTTCTGACATGTTAACAAATGATAAAGCTGCCCAATTCCTACTAAACAGTGCTCTAAAATTCTAGTTATATGTTGAAATTGAAGTAAATTTTAAAAATTAATCTTGAAGTAAATCTTAGAAAAAGCAGACTCCGGTTAATTAGCTACCCCTAACCCCCTTGGTGGGGGCAGGTTAGCTAAGGGGTGGATAGGTGGTATGGTGGCTAGAGCGCCAGGCCTAGAGTCAGGAAGACTCATCTTCCTGGGTTCAAATATGGCCTCAGACAAATGGGGTCATGAAGAGTCAGATGCAACTGAAAATGACTCAACAACAATAACAACAGCAACAACCACTTTACCCAGGAGATGTCCTTGTCTTCTATGTCATTGAGAAAATGTCATTTACTCATCTTCCATATTTTATTAGTCAAAATCCACTACATCTTCACCTTTACCTTACTCTTCCTTTAGTCTGAGGAATGGGGCAGGGGTTCCTTTCCTTGTCTCCTCTGGGAGTTTGCCACACTAATCATTCCCAATCCTGACTCATTTTCAATCTTTTCCTTATCTACTGGATCTTAATTCAATGTCTATAAGTTTACTCAACTCTATCCTTAAAAAAAAATCTTCATTTGATCCTGCTACTCCTTTAAGTTGTTATTGAGTTGTTTTAGTTGTGTCTGACTTTTTGTGACCCCATTTGGTGTTTTCATGGCAAAGATACTGGAGTGATTTGCCATTTCCTTCTCCAGCTTATTTTACAGATGAGGTCTTGCCTAGGGTCACATAGCTAGTAAGTGTCTGAGGCCAGATTTGAACTCAGGAAGATGAGTTTTCCTGATTTAAGGCCCAGAGCTCTACTCACTGCACCTATATCTTGCCTTTCTTTCACTACCAAAATCTTTAAAAATTGTTTATTGATATCTTTTGTTTTTATATTACCTTCATTTCCAAATATACTGTTTCCCGTTTCCCAATTTAGAGAGCCATCCATTTTAATAAAAGAAGGAAAGGAAAGGAAAGGAAAGGAGAAGGGAGAGGAGAGGAGAGGAGGAGATGAAAGAAGAAGTGAGAAGAGGGAAGAGAGGAAGAGGGAAGAGAAAGGAGAGGAAAGGAGAGGAAAGGAGACAAGAGGAGAGAAAAAAAGAATAAGAGAGGAAATAAAATGCACTTCAGTAAAACTAATGTCACACTCATGAAATCTGACAGTGTATACAATGTTCCACACCCATAATCCCCACCTCTCTAAAGAAAGGAGAGACGTACATTTTCTCTTCTTCTGAGCCAACTTTGGTCATTCTGTTGCATTCAGTTTTTTAAAAACTTTTTACAATATTTTGTTGTAGTCGTCAAGTATTTTGTTTCCTTGATTCTGTTCCTTAATTTTGCATCAGTTCATGTCATACCATCCATCTTTGAATTCTTCTTATGGTTACTTATTGCCCAATACTATTCCAATCCATTCATGTACCACAATTTGACGTCACTGATAAACTCTTTTAAAAAAACTCATCTACATTCAGTTCCTCACCAGCTATTCATTTTTTAAAAACCCTAATCAATGTGGAGGTGTTCCACTCTATCTACCATACCACATAGCCACCCCCTAGCTAACCTCCCTGCCAAGGGGGTTGGAGGGCAGCTAATTAATCAGAGTATGCTTTTTCTAGGATTTACTTCAAGATTAATTTTTAAAATTTACTTCAATTTCGACATATAACTAGAATTTTAGACCATTGTCTAGTAGGAATTGGGCAGCTTTATCATTTGTTAACATGTCAGAAAACATCAATTCTAACTCTCTCGTTTTGTAGAATTCTACATGATTCAATAATTCAAGGTGGAGTTTCCAACTCTACCCCTCTACTGAAGTTATCTGCAAGCTCTTCTGTTCTTTTCTTAGCTCTCGTCTTCCTGGGTCTTTCTACAGCTTTAGATGCTGTTGACTAGCCCTTCTTCCTGAGTATTCATTCTCTCTTCCCTTGGCTTTGATGTTTTGGTCACCTGGCTCTCCTCCTACCTATTAAATGTCTGACTCTTCCATGTTGATGACCTTGGATAAATCTATCTTTTATCTCCCAGATGTGTAAGTCCGCCCAGGACATTCTCCTGCATCTTCTTCTTTCTCTTCACTCTCTTCCCTGATTATCTCTTCTCCTTCCAAAAGATCATCTCTAAGTAAATGCGAAATTTCAAAAAGACTTGGAATCTATGGGGCTCTCTGAGACCCATAATGCTCATTTGTAGCAGGCTACTTTTGTTATGGACATCGGACATAAACCCTTTACCTTCTCTTTTCTGGATACTTCCATCTCATTTATCCAGGAGTTGTATAACAATTCCTAGCTTCTCCCAGTCTGTGATACCAGCCAGATTCACTAAAGTAAAAACCTGTTCCTTCCCTAAAAAACCCATGACCTTTCAGGCTTCAACTAAGTGCTTTGTTGTGAAAGTGATTTTAATCTCATCAATTTCATGATGTAATCGATTGTGGAGATCTGCTGGTGCTGAGGCAAAAGGCTGCCTCTCCAGAGGTCCATCAATGACTTGCTCCTGTCTTCCTTCCCTTAAAGGCTGAGCTTGGGGGTGGCGTCCTTTGTAAAGCCTTCTTTGATGCTCCAAGCTGGCAGTATTCTCTCCCTCCTAAATTTACTTTGTATTATACTTATTTATTTATATGCCTACATGTCAGTCAAGTAGCATGTATTAATCCCCTACCCTATGTATATATACAATATATGTATGTAAATACGTACAGTCTCTATGCTCTCTCTCCACACAATGCATACATGTATACACAATAGACTACACAATACACACATACATATATACACATGTATATATTACACACACATGTATTCTGTACATTTTATACACATATGCCTCTATTATATACACGTATTACATAAACACGCATGGGTACATGTTCATATGATATGTGTTTATATCATAGCACACACATATTACACACATAGATATTGGTATATATTATATATACATGTATATATTATACATACATGTATATACATATATTATAAACATATACAGTTATCCCTTCCACATCGTAACTTTCCTCATTGTGATTTTGATATATTGTGGGTCAGCATAAGAAATTAAATGGGAATCTTGGGGGAGTTTTGCAAAAGTTGAAGGTGACACATGAAGGCCAGCCGACAAAACAGAAAAAGTTTAGAAACTCAAAAATGCATAAAATAAAAGTATGTCAACATATTTTATCTTTTAATACCAAAATATTTCAGATTTCTTCTCTGGTACAAAGAGAGGAACAAAAAATTTTACATATATATGTATATGTGTGTCCATGTGTGTCTATGTATATATGTGTATAACATGTGTATATTGTGTATATCATATTGAATGAACATGCATATAAGATATAGTATACAGTTATCCTTCTACATTGTGGGGGTTGGGGTGAGGTCACCTCCACCCTCCTGCAATCCAGAAAAACCACGTAAATTTTTTTGTTCCTCTCTTTGTACCAGAGAAGAAATCTGAAATATTTTGGTATGGTAACCTGTACATCACATCATATATACTTGTCTATGTTTGTATACGCATGTTTATACATGTGTACATACATGTATATACACATACATGTGTGTATACATATGTAATATGAAATTTTGCACAGATATTATCCAAGAACAAAAAGCTAGGCCCAGAGTTGAACAGGAGGAGAAAGAGAATATGCTGGGTTCCTTTGGGAAGCTGAATGATGTTTTTAATGACCCCAAGCTTCCTTTGTTTTTGCTTT